TTGTGTGGTGATGGTGCACTCAAGAGGCAGAGGCAGGTGGATATCTTTGAGTTCAAGGCCAGCCTGGTCTACAAAGTGAATTCCAGGACAGCCAAAGCTGTTACACACAGAGAAACCCTGTCTCGAGAAAGAAAGAAAGAAAGAAAGAAAGAAGAAAGAAAGAAAGAAAGAAAGAAAGAAAGAAAGAAAGAAAGAAAGAAAGAAAGAAAGAAAGAAAGAAAGAAAGAAGAGAAAGAGAGAGAGAAAGAGAGAGAGAGAAAGAGAGAGAGAGAAAGAAAGAAAGAAAGAAAGAAAGAAAGAAAGAAAGAAAGAAAGAAAGAAAGAAAGACTGTTTTGTATGCTAACTAAAAAGATTCCGAGAAGTTGCTGGTGCTGGTAAGCAGTGTCTGAGGACCCCAGGGAGAACAGTGGTCTTTATCTGTGCAGACCAGAAGTGGGGCGGAGACCAGAACTCTAGGAGGGCAGCTAGTAAGAAAAGAAGCCACCATGCTTTTATTTAAAATAATAGCTCAGTTCCTTATTAACGGCCCATTATTTCCATCTAATCATACGTTTCCAAAGGCAAACACTAGAAGAAGTTTAATATAATGTCGTTGAATAGACCCTGAAATGCCCTAACCCGGTATCTTCTTTCTTTACTGCCCTACCCTGAAGTGCCAAACAAAACAAAGTTGACCTTCTTTCGGTTCTCCGGCATACATTTCCAATTTCGCTCTTGTCTCCATTTCTGATCTTGTCACCCCAGTTAACACATCTGTCAGAGCTTCGTAAAGCACTCTCAAGTGTTAGAGTGCTCAGCAAGAAAGGCAGCCATTCTGTTGACAGGTTACAGTGTCGTGTGTTTTCTTCTGTTTTCATGGAGTCAGAGACATCATAGCAGTGGTCAAGCAAAGGCAAAGACATAAACCAGGAGTTTCCACAGGAGGATTCCCATGTCACACACACCTTTGGCAACGAACCCAGCGCTTCTTTGAAACTCTTAATGGTGTCTTGACATTACAGCTAGTGTTTCATGGGCACAAGAAGTGTGTAAAGAGATTTGGATTCAAAAGTACTCTTTTTAGTATTTTTTTAACTTTCTTACCAGTATATAAGCACACTCCCCTCACACATCTCACTTACCCTGCCCTTCCTCTTCTTATCCTTCCCTTCCCATTAACCCTTTGGGGACTTCTGCTTTCATTTAATCTATAGATGCATGATTTTATGTGACTATATAAAATCCAAGTGCCACAAATGAGAGAAAACGTGCAATATATGTTTGAGACTGGCCTGATTTGCTTAATATGATTGCTTCCACTTACACCAATTTTCCCCAAATGACTTGATATCATTCTTCTTTATGGCAGAAAAAATTCTGTTGTCTGTCTGAACTACATTTTCTTTATCCACTCCTCTGTTGTTGGACATCAGGGTTGGTTCCATAACTTAGCTTTTGTGAATATGGCTTCAGTAAACATGGATGTGCAATAATTCCTGTGATCCATTGACTTTGAGCCATTTGAGTAGATACCCAAGGGTGTTTGAGAAACTGCTACACTGGTTTCCATAGAGACTGGGCTAGTTAATAGTTCCCCCAGCCCCACCCCACCCCCAGCAGCATATAAGAGTTCCTTCTTTTTATTTCACCCATCATTTTTGTTGTTTTCTTGATGACTGCCATTCTAACTGGGGTGAGAAGAAATCTCAACATAGTTTGGGTTGCCATTTCTCTAATATCTAGTGAGGTTGAACATTTTTCATGTTTAATGGCCATTTGTATTTCCTCTTTTGAGAACTGTCTGTTCATTTCATGAGCCCATTTTATTGATTGGATTGTCTTCTTGTTTCTCAGTGAGGTTGCTTGTTGGTTGGTTGGTTTTTCAATTCTTTGTGTATTCTAGATATTAAGACTCTGCCAGGCACATAGCTGGCAAAGATTTTCTCCCATTCTTTAGGCTGGTTCTTTGCTCAGCCTTAAGTGTTTGCTTTGCTGTGCAGAGCTTTTCAGCTTTCCGAGATCCTGCCTGCTGATGGTTGCATTTATTTACTGGATGGCTGAGGTCCCGTATAGGCAACCCTTGCTCACGCCTACTTCCCCCACTTAACAGTGTCAAACTTAGGTCTATACTAAGGTCTTCAGTTCATCTGGAGCTGAGTTTTGTCCAGGTGAGAAATAAGGGTTCAGTTTCTTGTACACCTCAGTTTTCTCTGCAACATTTGTTATAGAGGACCAAACTGCTTCATAGAATGAGAAGTATATGGGTCTTTGTCTTCCTTTTGGATATGAATCAACAGAAAACTTACATTTGCTGTTTAGAATGTTCTGAGATCTGAGAGCTTATGTGAAAAACAAGCTTTGTACTCAGTGGGAGACTTCCAAACCAGGAATGGTGAGATGTTACAGACTGGCATCATCCAGGCTCCCTGTAGACCACGGTCCAAGTGACCCTTGATGCAATCTGGAAGTGTGTTGAGATCACTTCAGGCCACGGGCCCAGTACATCTCCTCAAAGTCATTCCCTAGAAGCAGCAGAAAAACAAAGACTTGGCAATAAAAACATTCCCTGGATTTAGAAATGTTGTTAGTTAGTGTTAAAATCCACTGCTGCTACAGGATCTGAAGTGCAGATGGATCAAGGCTCCTAGCCCAGCTCTGAACAATTGTTATAGTAAAGCGTGATTTCAGAATTGTATTGTAATGAAATGAAAATGCCCTGAAGGTGTTTTGGGTTGATTATAGACATCTAACTTTGTTGCTTCTCTTCCCTAGAAGTTGTGTTGGATTTTTTTTTTTTTTTTGGAAAGTTGTTTCTAGCCTAGCATGGTGGCACACGTTTTCTAAATCCAGGGTGCAGTAGGAGGATCACAGTGAGTTCAAGGCCAGCATGGGCTACTGAGTGAGACTTTGTCTCACAAAAAGAAGGACTGGGGATGGTGGCTCACACCTTCAATTCCAGCACTCGGAGGTGGAGGCAAAAGCATAGAGATCTCTCTAAGTGCAAGGCCAGCCTGTCTGCATAGTGAGTTCCAGGCCAGCCAGTACAAAATAGTGAGACTTATTCTCAAAAAAAAAAAAAAAAAAAAGGAAGTGGGGGGCAGGGCAGAGGGAAGGGGTAAAGGAAGGAAATGTAGGCCTCAAACTTAGATCTGTCTTCATCTGCCTCTCAAGTGCTGGGATTAAAGCCATGGATGACCATGCTTGGTCCTATGAAATTTAGATTTAAATGAAGTCACCATATAATGAGAGAAGCAATGCCCCAACTAGACGTCTTATACCACCATAAAACCTCCAGTGCCAGGAGTAGGTTACCAAGGGGTCCTGTATAGCACCCCCACTAAATATCACAAGCTATTGCCAAAGCTATTGGTTCCCCTCTACAACGTAACGACAAGGCCCCGTTGTGGGAGAAATCAAGCTGGTGCCCAACTATAAGCTTCACCCGTACTGACTAGTGTTTGTAGTGTTTGAAAGATTTTGCATACTACTAGAGGAGAAAAGTAATCAGTATCACCCAGCTATAAACCCTATGACCTACAACAGTGAACTGCCAGACATACATACATATATAGATAGATATAGATACAGATATATATGTACAGTAGTGATAAAAATGTTATGGGTGTATCCAACTACTTTTTATAGTTTTAAGGGCCATTCCATGAGATGGAACCCATACCTGACACTCTAAAGTGGCCAAGAAAACGAGAGTAGATAGCTGTTCAGAGAATGAGAGACTTTGAAGCACTCAGTCCTAAATGGAACGTCTTCCTCAGACCCCTCCCTTCAAGGCTTGATGATCTGTGTGAAGGAGGAGATGCAGAGGTTTTAAGGACCGGAAGTTGTAGGTGACTCCTAGGAAGAAGTGTTTTCCAGACATAACAGGGCTGGTCTTCTAGAAACAACAGGGCTTGTGCACATATGAACTCACAGAGACCATAACAGCCTGCACAAGCCCTGCACCAGTTCAAAGCAGACAAAATCCCAGCACAAAGAAAGGGAGATGACACCTAACCAAGGAGCTGTTTGCAAGTGATAGCGGCTGGGAAGGGAACCTCACTTTTCTCCAATAGAGTGATACTGGCTCTATCAACCACACTCTAAGGCAAGCCCGGTTCCCAGTAGCTGGGAACACAAAGCAGACTCCATGTTGTTGGTAGTGCTTGTTGTTGGTTTGGTTTGCTTTGGTATTTTTTGTCTTTAATGATTTTTGTTTGTTTGTTTTGATTTTGGATTTTCTTCAATCTTTTTTTGAGAGAGAGAAAAGAAAAGAAAGAAAGAAGAGGAAGTTGGGTGAATAAGGAGGTGGGGAGGACCTGGGAGAAGTCAAAAGAGGGGGGAAATGTGACCAAAATATGTTATATGAAAAAAACTTGGATAAAAAAGTAGAGAGAAGAAAATAAAAAATGAGATTATTAATATGAAGAGATGCAAATTGCTTTTAACTCGTTAATGAAGAATTACCTTTTAGCCACAGGTTACCTGTCATAGATAGTGTCCTACGATTCTGACCTAGAGTGTTAAGGAGTTCCAAGCCCACAGCTGACCTGTGCTTGGGTTTCCGAGTGCTTCCTCCCACAGCCTGCTTTATCCTTCAGCACTAGCTCATTTCACCAAGTTCTTTCCTTTCATTGCCCACGTAATGAGGCCACACTTCTGTGCTGAACCCTTGAGCTCTAGTAAATACCTGAAACTGTTTAAAATTACCAGTAAAAAGTAAATGACGCAGAGTTCACCTCGAGTTTGAACACAGGAGCAAATGTTCAAGGTCAACAGAAAAAAACAAGGGAGAAGTTTAACATGGAATCTGAGGCAAATCCCATCCTAAAGGAGTGAAATAATCATCTTTGGAAAACAAAATGGTACTTCTAAACCTGGAACTGTGCTTCTTATTTATGTTTACACCAAGCAAGTAAACATCATTAGCAAATTGCTAATTGTGAATTGCTGCCCTTCATCTGGATGCTTGCTTAAGGTTGTTTCTGGTTGTTAGGAATTAATGGAAATTTTTTTTAAATAGGATGCTATAGTTATCCATGAAGTCTATGAAGAAGGTGCAGCAGCCAGAGATGGAAGACTGTGGGCTGGAGACCAGATATTAGAGGTACTTCATTCTGAATTGCACTTTGTTAGCAGTGAACATGGTTGACCTTGGTTCATAAGATCAAATTGTCTGTCTTTGATTCAACTATTCCAGCAGTGATTTCTCTGCTGTGGAACAAACATATGTCATATCCTCTTCTTTTTCAGTGTTGCTGAACAACTCACTGGTTCATAATCATGACTTTGTTGATCTAAATCTGAGAAAATGTTTTTTCGTGAAAAAGAAAACTACCTCTTATAATTCTGTCATTTTAGTATCAGACTGTATGTGACTGCATGTGACCCTTCTCCTTTTAAGAGATCACATACAATGGCAGGAAGCACTGCCTCCTTCAGGCCCTATAGCCCAAGGTCATGGGTGGAGCAAATACCACTCACTATACATACCTACACATAGACAGACACACATACACATATACATAATTAAAGTAAGAAAAATACATCTTTAAAAGTAGGACAAGCAAAAATCATTAAATGAATAATTTCCATTGATGACATTAATATGTTAAAAATACATAAACAGTGGAACAGTAGGCAGTGTGATACTAAAGAACAACAGGAAGCCAGTCTGTAGTCAGACTTTCTTGTCAGCCTTTTTTTGGGCTGCCAACCCCAAATAATGACATGGAGCCTTATTATTAATTATGGATACTTGGCCTTAGCTTAGACTTGTCCCCAGGTAACTCTTACAACTTAAATTAGCCCATTTATATTAATCTACACTCTGCCACGTGGCTTGTTACCTATCCTCCATGATGTATGTCTGACTTTCTCAGTGTCTCGCTGGTGTCACCCATGTGACTAGATCTAACCCTGAGTTCCTCTCTCCCCCCAGAAGTCTTCCCTGTTCTCTCCTGCCTCGCTATTGGCCATTCAGCTCTTTATTAAACCAACCAGAAGGCACCTTAGGCACATCATTACAGTGTACAAAGATTATCCCACAACACCAGTCAATTCCAGGCACTCTGGTAGGTGGAACTGAAGAGAGTTTCGGTGGTGTGAAACTTTAGCATCTTTCACTGAATGAATTTAATGGAAGAGACTTTGTGGTGGGCATGTGTAATTTTTGCTTTGTATCTTTAATATAGCATATTATGAATGACATCATAGAATTTTATTTCTCTCCTTGGTGGCTCATTTCTGCCTTCCAAGATGAAGACAGGGGTATAATCAAGAGTGGAGAACCTAGATGAGAAGGGTAGAAAGAGAAGCCAGGCTAAGTGCAAATTAAGTTCAGGTCTAGCTGCAGGGTTTCTCTGCAGGCCTTGGCTGTGTGGCACGCTGGATTCGGACTCATCCCCAGTTCACTTATTAAGGCACTAATGAACGAGGTTAGAAAAACAAACAGGGCCTCTTTGGGAATTAGCTTGGATGCTTTTGCAAACAACACTGGTTTTTAGTGGTCAAAGTCTGGGGGACTTCTGGTTTCTGTTTTATCCTTCCTAGATTTTCTGGTCAGTTGGCGTCGCCATAATTGGCACTTCAAGATGAGTGCCTTTAATATTAAAATAGGAGCTGCAGAGTTGGCTTAGCAGTTCACTGCACTGCAAGACCAGAGGACCTGAGCTCAAGGACTAGCACCCACATGGCAGCTCACCACCGTCTGTGATGCCAGTGCCAGGGGATCCAACACTCTCTTCCAGCCTCTGCGGGCACCAGACATGCATGCAGTGCACAGCCGTGCATATAGGCAAAATACTGATACCTAGACAACAGTTTTTTAAATTCAAATGTGTATACCTGATTTTCTATAAATTATACCTTATTCGAATTTCCTGCCAGGCCTGATGGTTCAGGCTTATGATCCCAGCACTCAGGAGGCTGCATCAGTTGAAAGCCTGCCAGAGATTTAGAGTGAGTTCAAGGCCAAGGTAGGTGAGACCTAGTTAAAAATAAAAACTTAAACAAACCTTTTCTAACGTTTATTCATGTATTGACTATGTGTATGAGCATTTGTGTGTGTGCACGCATGCCACAGCACACATGGGGAGATCAAAGGACAGTTTACAGGAGCCTGTTTTCTCCTTCCATCATGTGAGTTTCAAGGATCAAATCAAGTCATTGGACTTGATGGCAAGTGACTTTATCCACTGAGACATCTTATCAACCCAAACTAAGCCACTTTGTTTTTATTTTGAGAGAGGACCTCATACTGTAGCCCAGGCTAGCCTCAGAATCACTATATAGTTGAGACTGGGCTTGAATTCCTGATACTCCTGCATCTACTTCTCAATTGTTGGCTTATGGAGATCAGCCACCACACCAGTCAGAAACATATTTTAAAGTGCTGGGCACGGGGCTCAGTGGTAAGGTGCGTGGATTTAATTCCCAATACCATTTTTAAATACTACTCTCCCTCTTTATCATACAGCTATAGCTGCTTTCTTCTCTAAGTACATTTTCCGCTCATGAGCATCCTCTGCATTCTGCAAGCCATTCCGCCATGGCTCTAATGATATCTGTTCGTAATTACTCATCTCATTGACACAACAGAGTCCTTGACAAAAGAAACTAAAGGGAATGGCTTGTCTGGCTTATAACACCAGGAGATAAAGCGTGCCTGTCTGGCAGGAATGAGTGACAGCTGATCCCAATGCATCCACCCTGAGGGTGCAGAGAACAGCAAGTGCCTATGCTCAGCTCACTTTCTCCTCCTTCCTCAGTCTGGGACGGTAGCCCATGGAATAGTACTACCTACCTACATTAGAGTGGGTCTTCCTACTTCAGTTCGTCTAATCTGGATAATCCACAGAGGGTCATCTCTTCAGTGGTTCTAATCTTGTTGAATTGACAATCAGTCTTGAATATCCAGTATCATAATGTTAAAATTAGGATAAGCCAGGTTTTGTTCCAGAGACACAACCAAACAATTTCTGACATTGATAAGCTTGGACTGTCTCCTTCCTGGTTGTTTTTTTCAGGTCAGTCCCTTCTCTTACCCTACCTTATTGCCATTATATCCTGTGTAAGTAGGATCAGAACGAGAGTTAATTTTTGATTTTACTCATGAACTAAAATAATGAGTAAAAAAGCCCTAGTCTGGCAATGGCTTATCCACTTTTCACAGACCCAGCCTTCTGACAGGGGGATGACAGCAGCGCCTTCAAGAGCCCTTCTCAAACAGGGGACCACTCGCACCCCCCAAGATCAGTCAGCACTGCTGTGAATACTGTCTACAGTGCTTCTGGAAGGCACTTGAAGTGGTGTAGAGGCACACAAGGCTCAGGCTGCCTGTGGCACATGGAAACCAGGCTGAGGTCACTCTGATCTGAGCAGGCCCCCTAGTGCCAGGATTTGGTCAAAATTGCTTTTGTACTATTAAAGTTCAATGACGATGCCTCAATTATTTTTTGTATTTGCTAAGGCCTTTGAGAAGAAGGCTTACAAAGTTCAGCTTCAATCCATGAAGTTACCTTGTGTTTTAAGTAATAGAAGTGGTCTTGTGTGCCATCTATTGGACCACAGGAAAATAATCAGCTTAGCTCACATTTCCTAGAAACAGTTTTCCCCTTGTTCTGTGGGCTTATTCACTAACAATGCAAAAGTGGCCTGGAGGAATAGCAAGGGGTCCTGTGCAGAAGAAAACAGCTCTCACAGCATTTTCTTTTGGCCCATCATTTCTTTCTTACAGTAAATACCTATGTGCTGAGTCTCGAGCCATAAACCTGACAGGGTTTATTTCAGTCAATTCTTACAACACAAAGTAGGTATTTTTCCTGCCTCCAGCTCATGAATGACACAGAAACCCAACTGAAGTCATTTCTATGGGTTTCACAAAGCCAGGAAGTCACCTTTTGTCTGAACCCATGTCCTTAACCACCATGGCTCTGGATGTCTGTGAGTGCTGAGATACACCAGAAAAGAAAAAATGTCTTGGTGATGGGTAATTGACTCATAGAATCAGATTTAAACAACAGCCCAGTGGGGTGGGGAGAAAGCTCATAACTAGCATGTGCAAAGCCCTGGCTGGGTACAACAAAATTAATTAACTAGGTGATTTTTTTTAAGGGCAGGCCTAAAGAGGTGGCTAAGCAGTTAAGAGCATTGGCTGCTCTTCTAGAGGACCCAGATTCAGTTCCCAGCACCCACATAGTGGCTCCTAACTACCTGCTACTCTAGTTCCACAGAGTCTAACACCCTCTCCGGGCTTCTTTGGTCACTAGGCATACACGTAGTGCACATATACATGGAGACAAAACATCCATACACATTAAAAATAAAATAATTTTTAAAAATTTTAAACACAGCCCCAAAGTCACCTTCTTCAAGAAGAGTCATTCTTCCTTCCTTCTTGGATGCCTAGGGTCCCTGGTCTTAGGATATCAGGATTGGAAAAGCCTTAGACTGTCTTTTACTGAAGAGATGAAGGGACCAAGTTCAGAGATGGGCTTGACTTCTTGGGGCACACAGGGCTATATCAGAACAAGGGCTGGAAGTCACATGTCAGGAGCTCTTCCACTCCTGCCATCTGTCTGGCCATAGTTGGGGCCATGTTTCCCTTTATTTGGCTCTTTTCCAAGATGTGACCTGGATGGAGGGAATGACTAACGTTGAATCCAGAACCACCCTGTCCCTCAGTTTCTTCTTTGTAGAAATTCACTAATCAGTATCAATTATTTGGCTGTTTGTGGTAGATCCATCTAATAACCCCTTCAGAGCCTAACTTATGAGACCGTGTGGTAAAAGGACTAGAATGGGAAGATTGTCTGGGTTTGGAACTGGAAAGATGAGTCAGTGGGCAATCCACTTGCTATACAAGAGTGAGTGCTGGAGTTCAGCTCCTCAGCACCCACAAAGTATCAGGTGGGCATGGCCTGTAATCCCAGCCCTTGAGAGGTGGAGACAGAGAATCCCACAGCAAGCTGGCTACTGAGACTAGCCAAATTGGCAAGCTCTAGGTTCAAATGAGGGGCCCTGCCTCAATATATAAGGTAGGAAAAGAACAGTCAGTGTGTCACCTTCTGTCTTCCACATACATACATGTGCATGTACACACACACACACACACACACACACACATCTATATAGGAAGGAGAAAAGTCTGGGTTCAAATATTGACTGTTTCTCCACCTACTGGTGTGGTCAAGTTCCTTGGCCTCTCCAGGCCTTGGTTTCTTCGTCTGTAAATGGTAATGCTAACAGTATATATTGAGACTTTAGACTATAGCCATTCTCCCCACCATGATGATCATGGATTCTAACCCTCGGGATCTGTGTGCCCCAGTAAATGCTTTCTTCTATAAGTTGCCTTGGTCATGGTGTCTTATATCAACAGAAAAACAACCAAGACAACCATAATTCAAGACTTTCAACTAGTAGGGAACAGAGGAGAAACAATTGAGGAGCGGGCATAGGCAATGAATTATTTCTGAATAAGACTCCAGTAGCTTAGGAAATAAAGGAACTGACAAGTGAGATCCCATCAAGTTCAAAAGCTTCTGCATGGCAAAGGAAGTAGATGGCCAGTGTGAAGAGACAGCTGACCGTGAGAGGAAATCTTGGCTTGCTACTTAATTCCAACAGAGAATTCATGCTCAATATATAAAGAACTAAAAAGTTACACACTGAAAGAACAAGAAATCCAGCAAATAAGTGGGCAAATTAATTGAACAAACACTTCTCAAAAGTAGTAAAATAAAATATATAAATGGGCAATAAATACATGAAAAAATGTTCAACATCTTCAGCTATCAAAAAACTGTAAGTCAAAAATATGTAGGCCTGTAATCCCAGCTGCTTAGAGTCTGAGGCAGGAAGATTATGTTTAGATCCTTCCTGGGCAGAGAACAATCTTAAAGCAAAAAGCTGCCATTATAGTTTAGTGACAGAGAGTGGGCATGAGGCCCTGGAGTCAGTCCCTGGTATTGAATAGGTACTGGGTGGGGCGGGGCATTGAGAGTCTCTCTGGTCTGAATGACTGCTGCTGTGTTTTGAATATACCGTGAGTTTCATTGCTTGGTGCCCACAGCTGTTTGGGGAGACTGTGGAAACTTGGAACGATGTAGATAGAGCCTAGCTAATGAAGGTAGACCACTAAAGGCAGGCTTTTCAGGTTATAGCTCTAGCCCCGCTTTGTGATCTGAAAAGACGGGAACAAACTGAGCCACAGGCTGCTGCCACTGGGGACCCAGCGTTGCAGCCACGTCACCCTCCCTGCCGTGGTGGACCGTTCTCCGTGAGACTAAGCCCAAATAAACCTCCCCTAAATTGCTTGTGTTAGAGATGTTGTTACAACAGGGAGAATTACTAATGCAAGTATTTACAACAACAACGAGCAAACAGAAAGACCAATGAGATGGCTCAGTAAGTAAGGGAGCCTGGTAACCTGAATTCCGTCCTGAAGCCATGTGAGGAGGGAAGAGATCCAGCTCCTGCAGGTGTCCTCTGACTCCACATGCATGCTGTGGCAGGCACTGACACAAACCCTAAAAAAGAGCCGTGTGATCCAGATAGACCACTCCTGAGCGCGTAGCTCACGGTAATCTTCATCAGCACGCAGCAGAGGTGTCTGCATATGCTTGTTCACGGTAGTACTGCTCCATCTGGGTTTTGTTTGCTTTGAGACAGTTTTGCTGTGTAACTCAAGTCAGCTTCAGATATGTGGGAGTTCCTGAGTGTTGGGATTATGGATGTCCAACCCCCTGTCCAGCTTTGTGGTACATTCTTCTCAATAGCCAAGTCATGGATCAGCCTAGATGCCCATCTTTGGATAAAGAAAACATGGTATACACACATATGCACACAATGGGGTATCCTTCTGCCATAAAGAAAAATAGAATCATGTGTTTGCAGGAAAACTGATGGGACTGGGTACCGTCGTGTTAAGCAAAGGAAGTCAGACTCAGACAAGTATTTTGTTTTGTCTCATGTGTGATGTCTGGGTGGGAGGAAGTCATGAAAGTGGAAGAGGGATTGTTTAGAAAATGAAGATCAGGAAGAGAGTGTGGGGACAAGAGCCGGTCATAAGAGTATGCGTATGATCAGAATACATTATGTGTATGTGTGGTGATACCACAATGATAGCCAGTATTTATATAGCTAATATTCACTAATAAGAATGAATAATAAAAAATAACTGGGGGGAAAATCCATGAGGACGGGCATTACAAGCACTATGGAAATATTTACTTAAAAAAATAAGTTGAGAGCTGGAAAGATGGCTCAGAGGTTAAGCGCACTGGCTGCTCTTCCAGAGGTCCTGAGTTCAGTTCCCTGCAACCACATGGTGACTCCCAACCATCTATAATGAAATCTGGTGCCCTCTTCTGGCAGGCAGGGATACATGCAGACAGACCACTGTATACATAATAAATAAATAAATACATAAATAAATCTTTAAAAAATAATAATAAGTTGTCTGTGATCTCCATATAACAGAGCAAGAGAGTGAGGCTAAAAGAGGTCAGCAGACAGACCACTGTGTACATAATAAATAAATAAATCTTAAAAAAATAATAATAATAAGTTGTCTGTGATCTCCATATAACAGAGCAAGAGAGTGAGGCTAAGAGAGGTCCCAGGTTCGTGTGACTTGCCAGCAGTGCGATGGCTTTGAGGACTGTTCCCAGTATTGTATGTTCTCTGTTGGTGGGCCTCTCTGTGTCCATGCCATCAGATTCAAATGTGAACCTTCAATGGCTTCTTTTTTGTTTGTTTCGTTTTGTTTTTCGAGACAGGGTTTCTCTGTGTAGCTTTGCGCCTTTCCTGGAACTCACTATGTAGACCAGGCTGGCTCACAGAGATTCACCTGCCTCTGCCTCCCGAGTGCTGGGATCAAAGGCGAGCGCCACCACCGCCTGGCTTAATGGCTTCTTGAAACTGTTGGAAACATCTGTCCTTTAATTTCCTTCTAGGCCAGTTCTAAAGATGATGTGATCTGAGCAATTAAGAGTGAGAAGCCAGCCAGATTTGTAACGGTGCAGACCTTAAAACCAGTGCTCAGGAAACAGGCAGCAGATCTCTGTGAGTTTGAGGCACCCTGTTGTACATAGCATTCCCAGGACAGCCAGGGATCCATAGTGAGACTGTCTCAAAAAGGCAAAGACAGCCGAGCAGTGGTGGTGCACACATTTTTTTTGTTTGTTTGTTTGTTTGTTTTTGTTTTTTCAAGACAGGGTTTCTCTGTGTAGCTTTGCGCCTTTCCTGGGACTCACTTGGTAGTCCAGGCTGGCCTCGAACTCACAGAGATCCACCTGGCTCTGCCTCCCGAGTGCTGGGATTAAAGGCGTGCACCACCACCGCCCGGCTAGGTGGTGCACACATTTAATCCCAGCACTCGGGAGGCAGAGGCAGGCAGATCTCTGAGTTCGAGGCCAGCCTGGTCTACACGGTTCCAGGACAGCCAGGGCTACACAGAGAAACCCTGTCTTGAAACCCCCCACCCCTCCAAAAAAAAAAAAAAAAGCCAAAGCCAAACAAACAAAAAAGAGTGAGAATGTCATGTCCAACAAGCAAATAGCCCAAAGATAATTGCTAACTGGTCTAATAGCTCTACTAGCTACTTCCTTCCAACCTCAATAAGTAACCATGCCCCACCCCCAACACACACCCAGCTCCCCTAACTCCACAATGAAGTTCACAGCTGTGTAAATATAGACCAGGCACACCAACTCACCCTTCTGTTCTTTGTGGAATGGAGTCTTTATATGTAAAGCAGCTCATACTCTTGATGGTTGTATGGTGTTCTTCGAGAATGTCTGGAACTTTCTCGAGATTCCTTACCAGTTGGATCAAGGAGCAGCAGCAGGCTGAAATGCCTCCACTGTAAGCTCCCCATCTCAGGACGGCTGTTGTTACAGGTTAATGGGGTTGACCTGAGGAGCTCCAGCCATGAAGAAGCCATCACAGCCCTGAGGCAGACCCCCCAGAAGGTGCGGCTGGTGGTATACAGAGATGAGACACAGTACAGAGATGAGGAAAACTTGGAGGTGTTCCTGGTGGATCTGCAGAAGAAGACTGGCCGAGGACTGGGCCTCAGCATTGTTGGGAAACGGTAAGAATGGGTTGTTCAAGTCAAGTTCAGCCTTTCTCTTCAGCATATGGGGACTAATACTTCTAAACGCTGAAAAAGAAAGCCTACTGTAGAGAAGTGATGGGGTTTCTAAGACGCGTCATGTTGAGATGCAGCTGGACCCACTGGGCACACCCGATTCCAGCTGGGCTGCTGGATCTGCACTCAGCTCTGCAGTAGGGTTAGAGTGGCCGCCTAGGACAGTATTTGTGGATTTCTCTTGCATGTGTGAGTGCAGAACGACTGTGGAGACAGAATGAGCTGCTTTCTACTTACCTGAGGACACTCCAGAGAATGGTAGTTCCATTTTGTGTTGTTTGTTGAGATGTGGTCTCACTATGTAGCTTAGGCTAGTCTCAAACTCTCAGCAACCCTGTCTCAGCTGGAATGCACCACCACACACGGTATTCCCCTTACCACACACGCTGTTTCCCTCACCACCACACATGGTGTTCCCCCATCACCACACACAGTGTTTCCCCCATCACCTAGTGATAGATGCATAGTCTGCATGCATCTGCAATACAGATCCAGTTTGAAAAGAACATTTATATTCTTTAGCATGAAACTTTTCATTGTAAAGGATGTGATGCATTTCTTAAGGTTACAAATCCTTTTGACAAGTAATTCCACAATTCCTTAAAGATTTGCTTGCAGGTATTTATTGCACATCTTTTGCAGTAACTAAGGAATAGGAAAAAAAACTCATCAGCAGGTCTTCAGTTGTCAGAACACACTCCAAGAACGGAGTCGTGTGAGAATTCTGAGTTCTTGTGAGAAAAGTCCAAGAAAACAAGAGTTTAGGACCTCAGTTTCTTCAAAACACAGACTTGTTCTTGGAATGTGTGTTCATGCTCACTCCCAGGTGTAGCGGATAGGAGTGAGCTTACTTCAGCTGTTGTTATTCATGTGCCTCTGTGGAACAGCCATCTTTTGCCGTGTGTGGTTGGTCTGTCTGATTGCACACCTGATTCAGGTGGTTCTTATTAACCTCAGAGTACAAATTGCCTGATGCTCTGAATAAAGTTGGCTACTGCTTGAAACTTTAGTCCACCTCACTTTTAGGCCCTGCTCTCCCAGGTTCACACCACCAACTAGAGAGGTAAACACTGAATAAGTGAAATTATGGAATGTCCACAATATAGTGTATAGCCATAAAAATGGGGATGCTGCAGGTGCTAATGAAGATCAGTAGAGGTAGGGAGATAGCCCACCTCCAGACCACATAGGTAGCATATGTGTGATCTGTCTTCAGCCTTCAGCATACCTCCCACAAAAATCAATTGCCATGGTGTATCAAAATTAAAAAAGACAAAAGTAAGGTAGCTCACACTGTAATTCACATCTCTGGCAGCCGAATCACACAACTTTGATGACAGTGTGGACTACATAGTAAGTTCTAGTATAGCCTGGGCTACAGAGTTAGACCCTGTTGAGAGAGAGAGAGAGAGAGAGAGAGAGAGAGAGAGAGAGAATGCTGGAACCATAGATGGTTGTAAGCCTCCCAGTGTGGGTGCTGGGAACACTCTGATCCTCTGAAAGAACAGTAGATACTCTTAAGTGCTAAGCCATCTCTCTAGATCCAAGATACACACTTTTTGACCTCTTCAATTTTGAAACAGATTTATTCAGCAAATAAAAGAAGTGAAGACTAAAAATAAGAGGTTGGGGGATATAGCTCAGCTGGTACACTGCTTGCCTAGCATGCATGAAGCTCTGGATTCGATTCTCAGCACTCCATAAAACAGTCATGGTGGTACAGGCCTATGATCCCAGCACCAGTAGGTGGAGGCAAGAGGAAGTTCAAGGCCAGCCTGCCCTAAGGGAGACTTGCGGGGGTGGGGATGGGGGGCAGTGGGATGCATAATCAAGGAAGTGCAAGAGGAAAAGGAAATTAGAGACAGAACTGTTAGGGGCTTGCAAGAAAGATCAGTGGGGCAAGGCACATGCCATCAAATTGATGACTTGCCTTAGATCCCTGGGACCCACATGTGAAAGGAGAGTAACCCCCCACATGTTGTCCTCTGACTTCCATGCATGTGCTGGCGTGCACATATCTACCTACATAAACATGTGAATAATAAAATTTTTTAATAAAAGGAAGTTACTAGCAATGGGCTCTTCTCTAAGCTTGCTCACTTCATTTCTGTACGGGGTGCTGGGATCACCCCAGGGTCACACTTACACCAGAAGGCAGTCAGCCACAGAGCTGTACTCCAGGGCACAAACTCTGCCTCTTTAAAAAGTCAATTTCCACTTTTCTTTACTAAAATCATCACCTCCCGAGTGCTGGGATCACAGGTTTACACCACCAATAAAAATAAAGCGCAGTAGACGAAGGCGGAAGTACAATACAAAGCACAAAGAGGCATATTCTGATTGTGAAGCTTATTCTTCAGAAAGTTAATGGACGGCATTGGACTTAATGGGTTGGTTTTAGGTCTTAGCATAAGTCTTCATAAAGTAAGATCCAATTGTAATTAATAACTAACTGGCTGTGCCAATCCCACATTGCTTGGTGATGTTCACAGGAGCGGAAACGGAGTGTTTATCTCTGACATTGTGAAAGGTGGAGCAGCAGCCCTTGATGGCAGGTTGATTCAAGGAGACCAGATCTTGTCTGTGAATGGAGAGGACATGAGACATGCCTCGCAGGAGACAGTGGCCACCATCCTCAAGGTGAGTCCCTATGCAGCTTCCAGCATGGCTGCAATGAGCGACGTTCATGATGTTCACGGAGCTGGCCCAGTCTTCCTGGCCTTGGTTGGATGTTTTTGCTCTGTTCTCACTGGAAATGTAATACCTGATGACCAAGAACAGCTTTTTTTTTTTTTAATTAAGAAAATTTTTTCATTCATTTTACACACCAATCAAAGACGCCCCTCTTCCCTCCTCCCACTCCCCCTCAGCCTCCCCTGCCCAACCAAGAGCAGCTTTAAAGGAAAGCTATTGTGCTGACTAAGCAGACCTAGGGAACTGCCTGGGGATTTTGAGGTAGTTTCTCATGCTAGTGACTATTCAGCTGTCACACTTGTCATCCAGCTCACTGGACAAAATGTGCTCTCCTGGAGCATGGAGTCCAGCCCCTCCCCTCTACATTAATCAAACCCAATTTTGATGCCAGAAGGAAACACTAACGCTCGTCTAGACTGGCTTCTCGATTTCACAAATGAAGACAGAGTCACACAGCTCTGCTTGAGTGGGTTGCTCCCCCCCCTGGGCTCTGGTGAGCTTGTGGAAGTCCGCAGCTCAGACTTCGAAGCTGAGGGGCTTCTGCCTCATGAACCTCCTTCGCCTTTGGTTACAACCAGTGGATCTTAAAAGCAGCTGTGGAGGCTTGTGCAGACAGATGGGGTTTGTTTTAGTAATCAGGGTTCCCGGTACAGACACCTCAGTTACTCTGCAAAGGAGGCCTGGGTTTGTGAACTGTCTCCAATAGGATTTCCCACTGTGCTCTTTCCCGCTTCTGGACTGTTTTGTTCTTTTTGAGCACTTTCACCAGAAGGGAGGCGGAAGGGGAGAAAAGCAGTTGCTATCTATCAAACCCATTCGGTGCGTCCGAAGGGCTCGCGATGAAGCTGCTGGCTTTCTGTGTTGTTTGGGTTTGGGACGACTGGTTCGGTACCCTCTAGGAAGCCTCGGCCGCAGAAGACTGGAGGCCCAGCTCTGATGCTTTAGATCATAAATGCCACTGTGTTTCACTTCTCTCTTTTCTTGTCTTCCAAGGGCCCGGCTCTGATGCTTTAGATCATAAATGCTACTGTGTTTCACTTCTCTCTTTTCTTGTCTTCCAAGTGCGTCCAGGGCCTTGTGCAGCTGGAGATTGGGAGACTCCGAGCCAGTTCCTGGGCCTCCTCTCGGAAGACCTCTCCAAACAGCCAGGTTGTTGATGCCACTCACTCACTGGCCGGCTCCCGCCGGGGAAGTTGCTCATTTCATAAGCGGTTATTTAGAGATGGTGTCTGATGCACCACATAGTCTCAGCACCAGCTTCAGGGCGTTCGCATAGGTTTGAAATACAAATGAAAGGGGAGGTGGAAATTCATTAAGTCCCACATTTCTCTTTCCTTTATTGCCTCTAAGTGTTTTCTTAGAACCATTTTTCTCTCCCACTAGTCTGTATTACCTGTGCACACACGTACACAGCTGTGTTTATTTTAAAACAGAAAAAAAAGAGGTAACATCTGGTGGCAATTTGACCCTCATTAGCACAACATTGTTCTGTTCATCCAATTAAACATTGCTATAAAGTTAACTTGTGAATAGCCACTCACACATGCTGAAGGCAATTAATGGTGTATTCCTAGGAGAGCCAAGTCGGGGGGTCTCTCTTATGGCAGGGAGGTATTAGTGGGTGACATTTTGTGAGTTAGCAAATATATTTTTTTGCAAGACTGATGTCAGTACCACCTTTTTAATGAAGTATTTTCACGGTAACTTTGTGTGTGTGTTATAATGGCTGACACACTCAGTCTACCTCTCTTGGTCCCGCTTGGCACATGATTCAGCTGTAGAAACTTGCACATAGCCCCTAGTCTCTCTGAGAGTTATGGACAGCCCCCCTTTCTGAGGTTGAAGTGTGACTGTTAGTCCTCTTCTGGTTGCCTTCTAGCTCCCTTCTGAGGTGTCCTGGCTTTGTGTTGGCATAGCTGCATCTGCAAAGCTGTCGGCTGCTGAGGCTGCCGGCTGCTGCTTTGCCCATGAATTAGAAAATGGCAAAAAGATGTTCCCGAGGGCCAGTGAGTTGGTGGGGAAATGCACTGCCGCCAAACCTGATGGCCTGAGTTTAATTCCTGGAACTCTTGTAGAAGGAGAGAAGTGACTCCCAAAAGTTGTCCTCTGACCTCCACACTCATATTATGGCATGTGTTTGTGTACACACACACACACACACACACACACAAATAAGTGTAATACAAGAATTTTAAATGTATATCATTGATCAGACTTGATCACAGACTAGCTGCTTTGACTTCAAGGATCTTCAAAGCGGGCCCAGCGAGATGGCTCAAGGGTTACTTGCTGCTCTTCCAGAGGACTCAGGTTCAATTCCCAGTACCTACATGGTGACTCACAACTGTCTTTAACTCCAGTTCTAGGGGATCCGACACCTATACTCACACAGACATAAGCACACATAAATAAAATTTTTTTAAAAATCTCTAAAACAATCAAACCTAATCCACACTGTTAAATTTGGACCCTCCCTCCCGTTCCCAGCTTCTATAATTAGCAGCAAACATAGACACTCATAGTGCTGCTTATTCCACAAGTGAAGAGTCAGGGATGCGGTGGAGACTTAAGTTACAGTGGGCGCTGCAGATACACGACAGCAGTCCCAGGCCTGCTGCTCCTCTGGTGGAAGACCTGTCCGTGTCACATGGTTCCTTTAAGCCTCATTGTACATGGGAGACTAGAGTGAGTCCATACTGGACATGAAACTGTGATTCCCACTGGCCTAACAGTTGAGGCAGTGGGTAGACTGGGTTTCTGACTCCTGGAGGAATGTATATAAGTATCGTCATGATTCATAAACTTCACAGTTGAACCCAGGGCATCGCATGCTAGGCAAGTGCTGTACAGACTGAGCCAATCTCCCTCTTTATATCTTGTTTTTCTACATCTTACTTAACTGTAAGTTTGTACAGTTTGGTGTTTGACAGTGGCTAACTGCTGGTTCATAAATTTCTATTCCAAGCACCATATAAACTGGGCATGGTGGCACATACCTGCCATCCTAATACCCAGGGAGACAGAGACAGGGTCCCAAGCTCAAGGTCATGCTCAACTAGATAAAGTAATACATAAATAAGGTAAGATCAGCTTAGGATACATGGAACCCCTGTGTCACACCAAAGAAAAGTGTGCCTATCCTAAAGTATACAGATATCTACACTCTATATGAAAATGAACGTTAAAAGATGAATTAATTGATGAATGGAAGGTATGTGATAAAGAAAGTGGAGGGCCTGGAGAGATGGCTCAGGTGTTTAGAGCACTTGTTATTCTTTCAGAGGACCTGGGTTTAATTCCCTGCACCCACATCATGGCTCATGACTATCTGTAACTCCACTTCTAGGGGATCCAGTGCCCTCTTCTGGCTGCCTCAGGCTGGTGCATATGGTGCACATGCAAGCTAAACATGTGTATAAAATAAAAAGAAATTATAGACATCTTATTTTTCAGTTTGTGTTTTTATGAAGGAGACTTTGTTTGTGCCCAGGGTCAGGATCCTCTTTCTCCACTTCCCTCGATTATACATGTATGTGTGTGTCATGAAAATGTAGCAGATTTTCAGTTATGGAATCTGAGTATATCTATAATTCTTATTAACATTTCTGCTTATTTTAAATCTTTCTTATTTAAGAAATATTTAAATGTTTTAAAGCTTCTTCTACAGTTAAATAAATGTTCACTAAGGTGTGGTAGGTGTAGCACCTGCCTGCCATGCATGAAGCCCTGAGTTTGATCCTTAGCACCAAAAAAAAAAAAAAAAAAAAAAAAAGAGCTGAAGCCAGGTATAAGGCATAATGGCACACACTTGTAACTCAGCACTCATAAAGATCTAAGTTCAAGGCCAGCCTCTATTACATAGAAAGACCCTGTCTCATAAACAAAACACATTATAATTTACCAAATGGTCATAGTGATGTTAGTCGTAGCTTAAATTTTCAGTGCAGTTCCGCATAGGCTTGATAACCAGGGAGAAAAGTTAGAGATGATACTACCTACATTAGAAAGGGCCTTTGCGAATTTTGTGTGTGATTTTGGATAGTCAGTAGCTGTCTATAAATGTCAAATATCTATTTAAGTGGGGGAAACAGTTAAATAACAGGTCTAGCAGGTTGGATTGAACCATTTCTGATTATGAGACAATGTTTGGGATAAAAAGTAAGATACCCATAAGTCAGCTCTTTCCCCTCCATAGTTGCCGCCTTCTCCAGAAGTCTACTCAGCCACTTTTGATTGAGCTTCATACACTAGGCTAGGCGAGGCATGGGATGTAGTTGGGGTGACTAGGGGGGTCAGGTTGTTTGCTTCCTCAAAGGACAGGGCCAGTCACTGAAGACTGTAACACTCTGGCAGCCTAGGAAAATGTCTGACTTCATGTGCAGCAAAAGCAGCTGGAGTTATCTATTCTTACTGTGACCGTGATGCACATGTCTGCAGTGGGGACACAAAGGAGCAAGCGTTTAGATGGGGCTGGGTGGTGAGGGGTGAGGGCAGTGACTAGTTTTCTTTCTTGACTGCTAACCTCGGCCACTGTGGACTCTGATTAAAGATGTATCTCTGGGGCTGTGGTAGTGCCTGCACGCAAGTGACCACAGTGTTTCTTTTTCAGGGGGATCAGCACAGTGCACACGGCAGCTGCCGGCCTTCCTTCGCCCCTGTCATCACTGGCCTACAAAACCTGGTTGGCACAAAAAGAGCTTCTGATCCTCCCCAGAAATGTAAGTTCAAGGCCAGCCCAAGCTACTTAGTGTGGCCTATTTCAGAAGGAGAGGTTGGGGGTGGGGGCACAGATCCCATAAGGCACAGAAAAGCAAACACTTAGAGTGCATCAGAAAGTAGATCTCTCTTTTACAGAGAGAACCTGGGAACATTGCAGGTGGCTGGAGGCGGGGAAAAGTGCGTATGTCCTGGAGAGCAGAGTGGGCACAGGGGTTTTGAAGTCCTTCTTGGGTAAAGGTTGTCTTTGAGCAGAGCAGAAAAATGCACAATGAAACACAAATGTGTTGTTCCCAGCTCTGAGTCACCATGTTCCAGGCCAATGCTGCTGCAGCCTGTCAGCTTTGGTCAGACCAGACGATTATTATGTCCACATCTGTCCATGCTGCAACACTGCCCCTGAGGACTCAGTTGGGTCCTGATGCTGAGGAAGGGTTTGCCTGGCTTGCTTTAGTCTCCTTTCTTGAAGCCCTAGAAGAATGCTCCTGTCGTTATGGGAATGTTATGTCTTAAGTATATTACCTCTGATGCAAAAGCATTAATGAGCTGTCTTACTTCTTTCATAGGCACAGAGGTGGGACCAAGGACTGTTGAGATAATCAGAGTAAGTCACTTACTGTTTTTATGCTAGTTTGTACATTTTCTCCCTGAATGTAATTTATTGGGTTATTTGTTCTTTCAAGTTAGTAAAGTAAATATGTAACAGAAATAGACTTTTAAAAAATAGATTGAGCCAGGCGGTGGTGGCGCACGCCTTTAATCCCAGCACTCGGGAGGCAGAGCCAGGCGGATCTCTGTGAGTTCGAGGCCAGCCTGGGCTACAGAGTGAGTTCCAGGACAGGCTCCAAAGCTACAGAGAAACCCTGTCTCGAAAAACCAAAAAAAAAAAAAAAAAAAAAAAAAAAAAAAAAAAAAAAAAAAAAATAGATTGAAACACATGTGACCATTGTGAATATTTTAGTATATCCTTTTCATAATAGTGTGTGTGTGTGTGTGTGTGTGTGTGTGTGTGTGTGTGTGTGTGTGTATGTGTGTGTGTTTAAATTTCACACAACAAAAGCGTGTTGGACCTTCTCTTGTAGCTCATCTTCTTTACCTTGTTGTGTGAACTTGGAGTCATGTCAGTACTCTTGAAAGCACAGAGCATGGTTGTTACTGCTGATGTAATAGTCACTTCACTGTCCTGGTGTGCCTAGAACTTTCTTAATCAGCTTCCTTGCATTAAACAATCTGCATACTTCTTTTTATTTTTTTAGGTTTTTTTTTATTTTATGTGTATGAGCGTTTTGTCCACATGTAGTCTGTACACTATGCATTCCTCTGTACCCACAGAAGCCAGAAGTGGGCAATGGATCCCCTGGAATTGGAGTTACAGATGGTTGTGAGCCACCACGTGGATGCTGGGAGTCGAACCCACATCCTCTGCAAAACCAACAAATGCTTTAACTGTTCAATGTCTCTCAAGCCCCCATGTTTAATATTTACGTTATATAACAAACATTGCTATATTTACATTTTGGCCTATGTCATGAATAATCACCTCAGGATTAATCCCTTCCTTCAAAAGAAGCTATTAGATCCAAAGCCATGCTTGGAGCCAGGCCGCAGCTTGGTTGCAGAGCGTTTGGCTAGCATATGCATTCCATCTTGAGCATGGTGGGGTACTTCTTTTTAAAGGCTGTTAGATGTGGTTGAATTGCTCTTTTGAGAAGATTGTGTGAGGTTTACTCCAGTTCTTACATTTTCAGATGCTGATTTTCAGCTCGTGTGTGATATCTGGAATATTAGAAGGTAGACTATAAACTTGAGGTTCAAGAGTCGTGACAGGACTACGGCCCTCTTGTAATCAGTATAACCACCTGCAGCAAGGTGATTCCTGCACAGCTTGGCTCTCTGGATTCAGTCATAGCTTATGCTCTACCACTCACGCTTTGACTGTGTTTATTTGGGAGAGCTGCCAAACAATATTATAGATTGGGTGTCTTCAATAGCAGATGCTAGTTTCGCACAATTTTAGAGGCTAAAAGTTCAATATTAGGGTTAACTTTCTCTGAGCTCTCCTTGGCTTATAGATGGCTGCCATCCTGTGGTGGCCTCATGTGACCTGTCCTTTATGTGTTTCCTCGTCTTTTTCCTGTTACGTAGCCTCTCTCATGAGGATTCCTGGTTGGACTGATTTAATGCTCACCCTAGTGGACTCATTCTAAAGACTGTCTCAAAATGGAGTCATGTTCTGAGGAACTAGAACTTGGGGCTTCAATATTAAACTTTGATTGGACACAATCCATCTATAACATCAACTCACTGATCTTTCATTGAACCAGCCTCAATTTTGCCATCTATAGCATGGGCTTGTAAAAGTAACTCATATTCTAGACCAATATGGATTAAATGCTGAGCCTGCTGCCTCATGCCTGCAATCTCTACATTTTGGAGGCTAAGAGAAGAGGATTGCCGTGAGTTCAAGACCAGCCTGAGCTACATAGTCAGTTCCAAGCCAGCCTGGCCTACAGAGACCCTATTTCAGAAATCCAAAAATAAATAAATGAGATAAGATATATAGAGTATGTAATTCTGAGTCCCCCCTACAGTTAAGAAAGGGCATCTGTCCTTCCTGGCTGCAGTTTAGCCAAACTTACTTGTCCTGTATCTTCTCACTAGAGCGGCAGTTGAGATGCTCTGTGATAAAGAAGGTAGATGCACCAATAGTGTACACATTTGCAGATAAAACACAGATGGAAGCCGGGCAGTGGTGGCGCACGCCTTTAATCCCAGCACTCGGGAGGCAGAGCCAGGCGGATCTCTGTGAGTTCGAGGCCAGCCTGGGCTACCAAGTGAGTTCCAGGAAAGGCGCAAAACTACACAGAGAAACCCTGTCTCGAAAAACCAAAAAAAAAAAAAAAAAACACAGATGGAGCTAAGGCCAAAGTATTCTGAGACTCTGAAAATATGTCATATATCCCTAGCTAGTTCAGTCCTTTCTTTTTACAGGCTTCTGTAATAGGCCTGCTCATACCCCCTGTGCTCACATGGTCCATTCACAGACTTCATAATAAAACATCTCTTGGGAACTAGAGAGATGGTTTAGCAGTTTAGAGCATTGGCTGCTATTCCAGAGGACCTGGGTTCAGTCCCCCAGCATTAGTCCACAAGAGTCTAGAACTCCAGCTGTAGGGTATCTGTGGTGGTTTGACTGAAAACGGCCCCCATAGGCTCATATATGTGAATGTTTAGTTCCCGTTTGGTAGACTATTTAGGATGAATTTGGAGGTGTGGCCCTGTTGAAGAAGGTGTTGTCACTGGGGTGGGCTTTGAGGTTTCAGAACCCTACAGCAGGCCCAGGCCCACTTCTATCTGCTTCGCCAGTGGATAAGATGTACGCTCTCAGCTACTGCCCCAGGACAGGATCCAAGACCCTCTTCTGGCTTCTTTGGGTCCTGCACACATGTGGTACACAGGTGTACATGCAGCCAAAACACCCATACACAGAAAATAAAAATAAGTTAACATCTCCTGGAATTTTGCACAGAAAGCATTGCTATTGATCAATGCATTTAGAAGGTATCAATTGATCACAAATTCCGTAAATTGAGATAAAAATCTCCCTGGAAGTGAAGCATTGCATATATCCTAAATTACCGTTATAGCATGGCAGCACTAATGATAAGAAAATAACAAATCCTTCTGTCATCTAGGATATGGGCTATGTATGTGATGTATGCATATCGCAGCTCACATGTGGAAGTCACAGGACAACTTGGGAGTCAGTTCTTACCTTCCACCTTGTTGGGACAGGGTCTCTCTAGTTTCTGTAGCTATGCAGCGTGCTCCAGTCTCGCTGGCCCAGGAGCTTCCAGGCACTTCTCGGGTTTCTATCTGCCATCTCACTGTAGGAGTGCTGGGATAACATGAGTTTCAGGGATTGAACTCAGGCCAGGCTTGGGTTTTTATCTTCTGAACTACCTCCATGGCCCTAAGGTACAGTGTTTGGCCTTGCTGATGACATTTTATTTGGTTTGGGCTCTAGAGATTAAAGCTGGAATATCATGCAGACTAAGGCATGTTCTGCCATGAGTGCCTCTCAGCCCCTACAAGTCTGTTCTTTTTTTTTTCTTCAGTCTTTTTTAAAATTATTTATTTATTTTTATTTTGTATGTATTGGTGTTTTGCCTGCATGTATGTCTGTGTGAGGGTGTCAGATCTTAGAGTTACAGACAGTTGTGAGCTGCCATGTGGGTGTTGGGAATTGAACCTGGGTCCTCTGGAAGAGCATTCAGTGCTCTTAACCACAGAACCTTCTCTCTAGCTGAGACAAGTCTGTTCTTAAGTTCTCTTCATGTGGACCTTTTGGAGGTGCTTTTCTGTTTTCCAGCTTTATTAGGATGTAAATGATGATCACTAAGCTATGGAAGGTGTTGTTTCTTTTATTTCTGTTTTATTTTTTGAGACAGAGTCTCACTCTGTAACTCTGGCTAGCCTGGAACTTGCTATGTAGACCAGGATGGCCTAGAACTCACAGAAATCCGTTTGCCTCTGCCTCCAGAGTACTAGGATTATATTCATCTTTGGCTATGAATTTGTTTGTTTGGTTGGTTGGTTGGTTGGTTGGTTGGTTGGTTATTGTTTTTGTTTTTTGAGACAGGTTTCTCTGTGTATCTCTGGCTGTCCTGAAACCCACTCTATAGACCAGGCTGGCATCGAACTCAGAGATCCACCTGCCTCTGCCTCTTGGAATTAAAGGCGTGTACCACCACCACCACCACCACCACCCGGCAGCTATGAATATTTTTAGATGCTAAGTTTCAACTACAGAAGCTGTGACCATGTAGATCTTCACCTCACAGAGTAGTACTTATATACCCTGCCTCTGTTGTTGGGTTTCCCCTTGCTGGGGTCCAGCCAGGGGCCTGATACAGGTCACTCATGTCTCTATAAAACCGTGTTCCAGTGTTTGCTTTCAACTGTCCTGCATGTTCTGAAGAACCTTAGAGGAGAAGATGGTCACATTTTCCTGCATGGTAACAAGCTTACGATTGCACCCTGGAACTCATGAGTGTTAAGTTGTGTCTGCCCTGAAGAACAGTGGTGCCTGCGATTTAGCAGGCAGTCAACCCAGTTCGCCTGAGAGTGCAGTGTCTGTCTGCCTTTGTTTAATAATCAAAAGATGTCACAGAGAAACCTTATCTCAAAAAATAATCATAATAATCAAAACTTTTGGTGTGCTGGTGGAGGTCTCTTCTACACTTAGTGATCAGCACTGAACCTGAGAATCCCGTGCATTCGTGCTCAGAATTGGGGTCTCTTTCTAACTTTCCACTCTGACTATCTTCTCTTATTATCCAGCAGCCAGATATGCCTGTTTTAGGTTCTTCCAGCACCAAGGATGGGGTTTACATCAGAATGTCAGCAGTTTAGCCACCTTTCCAGCTCCCAGTTTAAAAATGAACACACGTGCATGTGCATACGCACACACATACATATGCACACATGCACGTACCCACACACATGCCCACCTGCATGTGCTCACATGCACGTACACTCACAAGTGCATGAGCACCAGCACGCACACATGGTAAAGCTGAAGGCAGTGTGCCCCTGCTACTGTCAATTCTCCAAATTTCCACTTATCACCCAGTTTAGTGTCTTTCTGCTACAGAAGCAATGGGCTGTCGTTATCTGCATTTTGACAAGACTTTTCCACTATAGACAGCAGGAGCGATAGATAGACTTGGTGAGGGTGCCAGCCTGTTAGAACTGCAACTTGTCATTTGTGCCTTCAGTCATTTTAAAAATATTAACCCTCCCATGATGGGGGGAGGGGGCAAGAGCTGGATCTCTGCACAAGGGTCCATCTTTGCAAAGAATTTTGCTACTATTTTACTTCTCTCTCAAAACTGTTGTCACAACAGCGGACACCCTCTAAGATCCTTTGTTTAAGGCAGCCATGCAGCTCTTTTGAAGCCAAGTGTGTTTGTTCACACCCAGAACATGATATGCGTGGCAGTTTAATCATAAACACCATATGAGAACACACTTGCCAAGACTGCGTCAAATGGGCCGCTCCACTGAACAGTGAAGGCTTTTGTTTTTTAATTTACTGCTGCTATTGGCTTTTATGGAGCCTCTTCTGTAGGCCAGGATAGCACCAGTTATCTTATTTATACTCAAATTACCACCATGTACTATGCAGTCTATTTCCCATCTTGTGCATAAATTGGAGGCTTCCAGAGACAGACTTCTCTGAGGCCCCAACAGCTACCTGACTTCGCAGGGTGACACAGGCCTTTTTGATGCCCTACACTCAGCTCCCGTGTTATGCTGGCCTTCTACATTAAGGAGAGTTTCTGTTCAGTGCAATCTGAGGACAGTCTATCTATGCCTATTACTAAAGATGCAGGTCTTCTCTTCTCTCTCTTTTTAGGAGCTCAGTGATGCCCTTGGAATCAGTATTGCTGGAGGAAAAGGAAGTCCTTTAGGAGATATCCCGATATTTATTGCCATGATTCAGGCCAATGGAGTGGCCGCACGTACCCAGAAGCTTAAGGTAAATGTGAGGGAGGCGATTGGCAGAAGGCTGCCAGCTTGTGTTGGCTGGGGAAGGAGGTTGTAGTCACAAGGACCTTGTTTAAAGTTGGAATTGAGAAAGCGATCAGCAGCCCATGCTGAGGGCAGACTACATTAGCAAGACTGCAGGCCTGAAGTTCATTAAGTCCCTGGACATATAAAAATGTTGTTTTTATCAAAGCGTCACGGTAAAAGAAGGGCTCACAGCTTCTTCCAAACCTCTTGAACCCTTTTAGCATGTCATTTACCCAAAATTGGTTTTTAACTCAGATTTGATCTTGGAATCTTCCACCCACCAAAAGTATCAACATTTTTTTTTTTCCTATTGTCCCTTAATCTTAACAGAGGTATAAAAATTAAGCAGAAAACACTTGGCTTCCTCATCAGAGCTTCATTGAACAACTAATTTGTGCACCCCACTCTTACCGGTGAGTGGATGTATAAAACACCACTACTACCAAAATACAAAAGTGACCTGCAGTGCCTTTTAGTAATCAAATCTGACCCCCTTCTTGTTTCTCTGATTGGGCTGCATTTGGGGAAAGGCATAAAAATCCCCCACGCTCCACAGAGCCAGCCCTCAACAACAAGACAGATGGGAAGTACAACTTACAAAGAGTTTTAGGCACTCTTCTCAAATTTAATTTTTCCTAATGATAGTGATTTTCTCCCACTTTTGTCCTTCCAGGTTGGAGATCGGATTGTGAGCATTAATGGGCAACCTCTGGATGGACTGTCTCACACAGACGCTGTTAATCTCCTGAAGAATGCCTTCGGGCGCATTATCCTGCAGGTATTGCGATCAATGGAGAACCAGCTGGGAGAGGCAGATAAGTGGCTGCAGAAAAGACAGCAGAGCGTCACTGGCAGTCGGCATCGCCACCCAGCAGGCGGCTTGCTGATGGGAATTATGAAGGTTGAAAGCGAGAAATTATTATTTTTATTCAGAAATTCTTTAATGCCACCCATACAGGCATGAGCAGGATTATATGAAAGTATAACAAGGGGAGAAAAATTACTCTCAGCTTCATGTGATAAATCAACAAGGCTTTTAGCTTCCAGCATTCTTTTGTAAATTGAGGTTTGCGAGGACTAGGAAATGATTTCCTTTCTTACATCCAAAGACTGGTACTGGGCAGCGCAAGCACTGTTTCCTATCCCTTTAAAGGCAGAGGAAAATGCTCTTTCTCTGACGCTATGAATGGTTGCCAGCACCCTGCAACTCTTCCTGCCTAGTAGTCATCAATTAAGGCAGACAATTATTGATCAGCTGTGGCCCCATGAGGATTGTCCAGGGGAAGAGGGAAATAGAGGAGGAAGTCAAAGCAAAATGGGCTGTTAATTTCCCCTCCCTCCATCTCAGCCCTTCACGTGTCTCTATGATTGATGCCCTGCAGAGACATGAGAGGCACATACTGGCGGTGACTCTCACTAATGAGTGACCCTAAAATGAAGGATTATAATCACCATACTTCCGAAGAGGTAGTAGAAGATGATTTATAGGTAAAAAGAATAAAACCCACACCCAGCACTCAGATTATCCTAGTCTTTAGAATAAGAAGATTGAATGGAAGAACCATGACATTGGAGAGAAGTGATTTGTGGTGCTTAGCTCGGAGACCTCAGGGGTCTGGGTATAAGTATCGGAGCCTTTAACAAGGTAAAGAGCTCTTGGTACACGTGGTGGGGGTCATGAAACACTGTGGTTTCAAACAAGAGGCCGAATATTATTTGGGTCCTTAAGCGTCTGCTGAATGCCAACCAAAACAGTGCGTGGACAGCCTTGGCGCTGCTTCCCCTCGGCTGCGCTGCGTGGACAGCCTTGGCGCTGCTTCCCCTCGGCTGCGTGGACAGCCTTGGCGCTGCTTCCCCTCGGCTGCGTGGACAGCCTTGGCGCTGCTCCGTCGGCTGCATGACAGCCTTGGCGCTGCTTCCCCTCGGCTGCGTGGACGCCTTGGCCCTGCTTCCCCTCGGCTGCGCTGCGTGGACAGCCTTGGCGCTGCTTCCCCTGGTCTGTATGGACAGCCTTGGCCCTGCTTCCCCTCGGCTGCGCTGCGTGGACATCCTTGGCGCTGCTTCCCCTGGTCTGTATGGACAGCCTTGGCCCTGCTTCCCCTCAGCTGCGCTGCGTGGACAGCCTTGGCCCTGCTTCCCCTCAGCTGCGCTGCGTGGACAGCCTTAGCGCTGCTTCCCCTCGGTTACGCTGCGTGGACAGCCTTGGCCCTGCTTCCCCTCGGCTGCGTGGACAGCCTTGGCGCTGCTTCCCCTCGGCTGCGTGGACAGCCTTGGCCCTGCTTCCCCTCGGCTGCGTGGACAGCCTTGGCCCTGCTTCCCCTCGGCTGCGCTGCGTGGACAGCCTTGGCCCTGCTTCCCCTCGGCTGCGTGGACAGCCTTGGCCCTGCTTCCCCTCGGCTGCGTGGACAGCCTTGGCCCTGCTTCCCCTCGGCTGTGTGGACAGCCTTGGCCCTGCTTCCCCTCGGCTGCGTGGACAGCCTTGGCCCTGCTTCCCCTCGGCTGCGCTGCGTGGACAGCCTTGGCCCTGCTTCCCCTCGGCTGCGTGGACAGCCTTGGCCCTGCTTCCCCTCGGCTGCGCTGCGTGGACAGCCTTGACCCTGCTTCCCCTCGGCTGCGTGGACAGCCTTGACCCTGCTTCCCCTCGGCTGCGTGGACAGCCTTGGCGCTGCTTCCCCTCGGCTGCGTGGACAGCCTTGGCCCTGCTTCCCCTCGGCTGCGCTGCGTGGACAGCCTTGGCCCTGCTTCCCCTCGGCTGCGCTGCGTGGACAGCCTTGGCCCTGCTTCCCCTCGGCTGTGTGCTGTCCTCGCTTAGGGTGGAAGTGCCGGCCGTAGTGATTCACAGCTTTGTTTCTGGCTGCCCATCCTTCCGTGCCACTGACCCCTTGTCACCTGTTACAAGCGCACCCTTCAGTCTCAGCTGCTCACCACAGGGCATGCGAGAGGAGAGCCTCAGTGGGAACTTGACCACTGAGCCATCTTGTCAGTTCACTAGAAAAAAAAATCCTTTTTGTTTCTAATTTTCAACCTTTCTTTGAGGATATGAGAGGGTAGGGGAGCATGTCAGGCATTTCTATCAGAAATTTGTGGAGATGGCTTTGGTAGATGGGTAGATTGAGACAACATTAATTAAACAGATAACCCAGACTGGCTTCACTATGCAGCTAAGGCTAGCCTTGAACTCCTGATCTCAGTGTCTCATCTTCTTTTGTTCAGGATAATGTGTCCTTGATGGCATTGTACTTTTAGGGACACTGGTGTGGGGAGGCTGAGCAGCCTCATAGCCAAGGGAGTGTGTCGCACATGCTCAGTGCTGGAAATGAGGGCAAACTGAAGCCACTTGAACTTTCCAGTGTTGACACCCCATTGCCTGACACAGTGCACTTATTAAATACTGGTTAGATACATGAATCAAAATGGAAGAGATGGATCACAGAGCCTACGAACATGTTGGAGGTCAGAAGAAAGTCTTTAACTCAAAGAGACAATACTTAAGGGATTATATACAAAGTCGTTCTTTGGGTCGCCCTTCACGGGCATCCTCCAGGTCTTGTAGAACTGATGTAAGAGGCCCCAGTGGTAGAAGAGATATTAAGATAGCATGGAGAAAGAGTTGGAGATGTGGTTCAGCTGAGGAGACTTGCCCTGGGTTCAATCCATAGTACAAACCATGAGTGAGGGAGAGTGTTGGTTTTACGCAGCACTGTTTACCCTGCCAGGAAAAGTCACGAGGCACAGTGAAACCTACTGTGAGAGTTCATTAGGAGAAGGGAGGCACAGGAAAGGATGTGATCAGGCCTGTTTGAAAGGCATGTGTGGAGAGGGAGAAGTGGGGAGGGGTCTGTAACCCGCTTTCTATGGATTCCCCTGCACAGGCACATATGGGCTCACATAGCTATGCCACGCATGCCCGGAGATTATGTGATCACGCTGCTGCGTACAAATTACGTGACCACGCAGTGCATGTAGGGCATAAAGCCCCTTGTTTGGCTACTGAACAGCGCATGTATGGTCATGTAGCAACAGAGAGCAAGGGGACCAAGGGATTAAGCCAAGAAATCTAATGTCCAACAAGTAGAAGTTGTAAATAGAAACACAGAGTTGAAAGAGGAGAAAAAAATTAAAGAAATTTAAAGACCCATTAATCAGTGCAAATATTAAATAATAAAAGAATAATACCTACCTAGGCTTTACATTTTTTCAAGAGAAAAGTACTTGCTAGCAAGGCATTTAAATGACACTGGCTTTTTTGAAATCAGTCTTCTGAGAGAATTACCTTAAGGTATACTCCAACAAATGAACAGAATAAAACAGAAGAGACCAGAGTCCTGGACACATTACAGTCTTTGACAGTGGCACAGAGAACAGCTGGAACAGGAGGAGGAGCACGTCAAGAGAAACTCCTCTGAACCAAAGAGGGAAAAAGAGAGGGAGGCGGTTCCGTGGGTGAGGCACTTGCCATGCAAGTCTGATGACCTGAGTTCCATCCTGGCTGCCGCACTGGGAGGAGAGGATAGGCTCTTGGAAGTCGTCTTCTGACCTCCACACAGTAAAATAGTAAGAAAAAAACTAAAAAGGGGAAAAAGAGGGACTGAGTATCAAATATATGTAACTGTCCTGGAAGTTTGAGGTGAAGTAGAAAATGTAAAGCTGATCTAATAAAAAAAAAAAATGTGTTAACTATGTACTCTGGAAAATAAATTCACGCCATAATCGAGGAAACATTAAAGTATAAGAGGTAGTAAGAATAGCATTTAGAGGCAGTCTAATCCCAGCACTCAGGAGGCAGAGGCAGGCGATCTTTGTGAGTTTGAGGCCAGCCTGGTCTACAGAGTGAGTTTCAGGACAGCCAGGGCTACGCACAGAAAATCCCTGTCTTGAAACACGCCCACCACCACCCCAAAAAAAGAATATCATATAAGTAATGACCTTCAGGACTGTTCTGTCTTCATTTTGTTATTGTTGTTATAGGACAAGTTCTTGTCATATAGCCCAGGCTACCCTCAAACTCTAATATAAGCCAAGGAAATCTAGTTCTGGGGGTCCCAGAGAACCATGGGTGGCCACTTGTTTCAAATGTTGAGAACAGAGTCAAGGGATGGTGAATGCTAGGAAGGAACTTGTTTTCCCCCCATGGAGGGAACGAGGCAGAGTCAAGGGGGGTTGCGTAGTTCAGTCATGGTCGGGTCGTTCTGGTTGATCATTGTCCTAGGCCTGGCCATCCAGTCTTATCTGGACAAGGAAGTCACCACTGCTAGGGGCAGTTTTGATCTGCTTCACAGGATGTTTGTCTGTTTGACTTATGGTCCTGGAATCCCAGGAGAGAATGACACAGAGAAAGAAAGCAGATGACAAGATGGAGTTTGTTAGGACAACTTCAGGTTTACAGCAAAGATTAGAGACTTCTAGGTTCCACTCTGGAACAGGAAGTTGTAAAAACTGGTAGTCGGCCATGTGGTGATTATGATGTCTCCTGCACATCTTGCAAATACCTTTGCTATTCTTATCCGGTGCCTTCAGCCTTGAAAGGGGAGGCTGCAAGAGGCACATCCTTAAATGATTAACATGTCTACTGTACAGAGTTGAACAGGAATCTGACCCAAAGTTGAAGGTAGCGGAGGAAACGGTGGAAAACGAAGCTGAGATGGGAAGCTTGCGCAGTTCCTCTTCGATTCTCCAGCCCTCATTTTACATCCGGCTTGGAGCAGGGGCAGCCGAGCCTCCTTACACTATTAAACAAGTAGATGCCAGGAGCCTGGTGCAGGAAACAGGAGGCACGTG